TCGCTGTTATTGAATTTCGGGGATGATGTACTCACAGTGAAAGTTTCGTTGTCCGAAGACGAGATCTTGATCATGCGTTGCTCAGTCTTTGCCTCGGTCATTGTTACTGCTTCGACTGAAAAATGAAGTAAGTATAAGAAAAATGTTGCAATGAGAGGAGAATGAGAAAGAAAGAAAACAGAAAATCAATTGAATGATAAAGACGGGGAAGGAGTCTAGAAATGATGTATCGACAGAAACCAAGGTAGTTATACCAAGCAATGTGACACACGAGACTGAGGAAGAACGCGAATGTGAGTGGTGAGCGCTGAGAAATCAATGGAGAGGCGTGTGTGGCGGGAAACGAGAGAGTGAGAGAGAAAAAGAAGTGAAACGCGTAGTTAGAGACACGTTTTATTGAACAGACAATAGTGCTGTTCCGTTACGGTTCACCTCATCCTTGCGAGTCTATCTGCTTCGTTGCGTCATTATTCCTACTATTCCTGTACATAAGACCTCTATCGATCCATGATCGATCAGACCGGCCTTATTAGATTATCGGATACCTCTAATGGCGTAAGTACGCTATAGCCCTCATTTTCTGAGTAAACTAACGGCCAGTTCTGTGACCTGTTTCAGGAGTGTTTTCCTTTCAGTGCTCTCATCGTGACCACTAGGAAGCGTGTGCTATTGGGAACTTTGTCTATGAGAAGCGATAAGCTTGTCACTGGTAGGAGAAGGGTTTTGTTGCCCAAGGCTTTTTGCCCCTTCAACTATTGAGTGATCAGTGATGTCCTTCTCGTCCGTCTCCAAGCCAGCCCGACTCCAAGGAAACAAACCTCTTATTGACTATATATTCTCTTTATTAAATATATACCGCTCAAAAAATGGGTCACTGATACTACTGTTGTTATTATTGTTTCCACACCGCTTATCTGCCCGCTCGTCGTCCCACTCCTCGCTACAGACATATTGTCGGAATAAAAAAAAAGTGAGACTCGGTGTTTGCGTACTTTGATTCCCGCCTCCCCCCACCGACGCTCCGCCCATCGCTTTGCAAGTGCGGCGTGGTGTTTTGGCGCGCCACTTGGAGATCATGGGGGTACGACGAATTCGAACGTTTTCGAAATCGAACAGATTCAATTCAGAACAGTCCTTTTTTCGCACACGTACCAGAACAGAACGCGGACAGAATCGAACTGTTACAAGTTCGAACTGGTAAGGAG